CCCCAAAACCCCAAAACCCCAAAACCCCAAAACCCCAAAACCCCAAAACCCCAATTTTTAGCTCGCAAATTGAATAATAAATTAAAATGAGTTCAAACTCCGGATATAATGGGCTTGCCCCCAGTAAGTTGGGATTCACAGCCAAGGCTGACCTGCCTGGGCATATAAATATCCTATTCAGAGCCCGTCCACCCTTGCAATATGCAGATCCATTAGAAAAGGAGCACCATACAAAGTATGATTTAATTAATGAAGGTAATGCTTCTTTAGAAGAGATCTTTGAAGAAGGGCCTCCTCCAGAACGCATCTGAATGGAAACCCCGGCTGAGCGTAAGGAAAGACTTTGGAAAGAGAGCATTATTTCTAACTATCTCAAGGTAAAGGAAGAGCGGGAGAAGTATAACCCTAAAAAAGACAAGGAAGCTACAGAAGATCCCTATAAAACTCTATTCATTTCAAAGCTTAACTATAAGACTGATGAAGACAAAATCAGAGAGGTAATGGAAGAGTTTGGGCCTGTAAAGAAACTTAGACTGGTAAGGAACAAAAAGACAGGCAAGTCAAGAGGATACGCCTTTGTAGAATTTAAACATTCCAGACATTGTCAAAGAGCTTACGAAAAGAATGGAATGAAAATTGATGGAGAAAGAGTCTTCATAGATTACGAGCATGGTAGAGTTGAGAAGGACTGGTTGCCTAAGAGACTAGGTGGAGGTATTGGAGATAAAAGAAGAGACAGACGCAACGAGAAAAAGATCAGGCAAGTAATTAAGGAGTATAAAAGAAGCCTCAAGGAAAAATCTAAGAAGGAAGCCAACGATACAGAGCCTACTAAAGATAAAAAGCATGAGAAAGTTAATCATAAAGAGGAAGAAAAGGAATCAAACCACAAGAGACAAAAGGTGAGTGAAAATGAAGAAGTCTCTAAAAGAGCTGAACAACCTCAAAAAGAGCCTGAAAAACCTTCAGAAACCCCAAAAGACCCAATTCCAGCTCCTCCTGCTCCCACCACTACTCCAGCTCCAGCTCTTATCCCAGCTCCAGCTCCTATCCTAGCTCCAGCTCCTATCCCCGCCCCTCCTCCAACCTCCACTCCTCTCCCAGCCCCTTTACCACCTCCATCTTCAACCCCAGCTCCCCTAGCTCCAGCACCTGCTCCTTTACCCCCTCCACCCACAATTACTGCTCTTCCTCCAGCTCCAGCACCTCTTCCTCCAGCTCCAGCACCTCTTCCTTCAACCAAGACGGCTCCTCACCAGGAAGCCAGCCTTCCTGAATTGGCCCAGCCTTCAAGCCTGAAGGCTGAGGAGAAGCCAAGAGAGGAAGTTAAGTCAAGCGTGGAGGCCAGTGCTGCTGGTACCTCAAAATATGAAAAATCCAGATCAGAACATAGCTCCCACAGACGTAGCTCCAAAGAGCACTCCAGAAGAGAAAGAAGCAAGGATAAGAAGGATAGGCATAAAGACAAGAAGAGAAGAAGCAGAGATAGAAAGAGCAAGCATTCTGATAGAAGCAAAGATAGAGACAGTAAGGATAGGAAGAAAGATAAGAAGAGAAAGAAGGATAGCAAGAGAAGAAGAGATGACAGAAGTTATTAGATTATTCGAGTAAATCTTGGTGTTGTGAGTGAGGGTATTTCAAATTATTTGGATTTTAGGGGTTTTGGGGTTTTGGGGTTTTGGGGTTTTGGGG